ACAATAGTAAGGAGCTCCGCTGAGCTGCAGAAAAGATTGTTGTTGTTTTTTTAATGTTTATTTATTTTGGAAAGACAGAGAGACAGAGCATGAGCAGGGGAGGGGCAGAGAGAGAGGGGTACACAGAATCTGAAGCAGGTTCCAGGCTCTGAGCTGTCAGCACAGAGCCCGACGCGGGGCTCGAACTCACCTCGAGATCATGACCCGAGCCGAAGTCAGACGCTTCACCAACTGAGCCACCCAGGCGCCCCTAAGTGACTCCATTTTTAACAAAAGGAGGGAACAAAGGGAGGGGGGAAAATCCATATAAAATCAATATTTGAGCATGAAAAAAAATGCCTCAGAGCATGTGCAAGGGGGATTTAACTCTCTTTAATACACTTCTGCACTCTTTGTCTCGGCTTATGACAGGTATATGCTACTTTTGTAATTTGCAAAATTCCACAAGGCTAAAGAATAGAAGACAAATTAAGAGAGCAGGCATCAACCAACCTTCGCGTAATCATAGCAAGAGAAACTATAATCTGAGAAACATCAGCAAGTGGAACTAAGGTAATGTATTGTTTTTTTTAAAAAAAAAAAAAGAAAGAAAAAAACAAGCCCAAACTGGAGTCATTTGCCCCCCCCCCCCCCCCCCCCCCCCCAGCAAGCCAAGATATAATTAGTTTCCACCTCTCCCAGGAATGTGACTTTTTAACAGTCAATCTGAAAGGTTTCCCTCACCTCTTGTAATGGAATCTGCATGATAAACACCCTGTCATCCCCTTCCCAACTGCCCCCTCCCCCAAAACAGGTGTCCCTGCCCACAGCAAACCTTTCTTTTGCTGGTAACAATCCCAAGCAGGCTCCAAGCTCTGAGCTGTTAGCACAGAGCCCAACGACGACGCGGAGCTCGAACTCACCAACCCCAACCGCAAGATCATGACCTGAGCCAAAGTTGGACGCTTAAAGGACGTGAGCCACCCAGGCGCCCCCATTTTTATTTTTATTTTAAAGTCATCTCGGGGCGCCTGGGTGGCTTAGTCGGTTGAGCGTCCGACTTTTGCTTAGGTCATGATCTCGCGGTTCGTGGGTTCGAGCCCCGCGTCGGGCTCTGTGCTGACTGCCAGCTCGGAGCCTGGAGCCTGGAGCCTGTTTCAGTCTGTGACTCCCTCTCTCTCTGACCCTCCCCTGCTCACGCTGTCTCTCTCTCTCTCTCTCTCTCCTAGAAATAAATAAAACATAAAAAAAATTTTTTTTAAATAAAATAAAGTCACCTCTACAGTCACCGCGGGGCTCGCACTAAAAACCCTGAGATCAGGAGTCGCACACTCCACTGACTGAGCCCTGCGTCCCTTTTAAAAAGTAATCGTACATTTTTTTTAATGTTTTTTATTTATTTCTAGGACAGAGAGAGAGAGAGAGAGAGACAGCGTGAGCAGGGGAGGGTCAGAGAGAGAGGGAGACACAGACTCTGAAACAGGCTCCAGGCTCTGAGCTGGCAGTCAGCACAGAGCCCAACACGGGGCTCGAACCCACGAACCGCGAGATCATGACCTAAGCGAAAGTCGAACGCTTAACCGGCTAAGCCACCCAGGCGCCCCAGTAATCGTACATTTTTAACAGAGAACTGCAATGTCACACCGTGTTCCTTTTCCAAAGTTGGGGATCCTTAACCTGCTGTTTCTACACAGACTTTTCAAGAAGGGCGCAAAAGAAGCAGTAACAGTGAGCTTGGGTCCACGCGGCACTGTCCAAATACAAGACACGGTCAGAAACTGATTTATGTTTAAGATCAATGTACACCAGCTTGACAATGCTTAGCGGATGAATGGGCTATGACTGAGGAAAAGTTGAATGCACGTCATTCTGTTAGCGCCCTATCACAAAAAGACAGAAGGACAGCAAATACACACCGCCGTCCCTCAATCTACTGTTCAATGTACCTGCAGTGAAAAAACATACACTTTTTAACTTTCTGGGTTGAAATAACCCATCGGCTCGTGATCTGCTCCGGGCCCCCAGCTAGGAGAAGTAAAACACACTGGTCCTGCCCCTGGCTCCCTGAAACATCTGATTCGTGCTGAGGACCAAAAAAAAACAGCAGTGGTGAAAACAAGAGTATGTATTTACCCTTGTTGTCAGGATGGGTGCACTTGAGACTCTCACACAAGTTGCTTTAAAACAGAATGAAAAGGGAGCGCCTGAGTGTCTCAGTCGGTTAAGCGTCCGACTTTGGCTCAGGTCATGACCTCACGGTTCGTGGGTTTGAGCCCCATGTCAGGCTCTGTGCTGACAGCTCAGAGCCTGGAGCCTGCTTTGGATTCTGTGTCTCCTTCTCTCTCATGCTCTGTGTCTCTCTCTCTCTCAAAAGTATTTAAAAATTTAAAAAAAAAAAAAAAACAGAATGAAACACAGAGGCGCCTGGGTGGGTCAGTCAGTAAGGCGACCAACTCAATGCCAGCTCAGGTCTGGATCGCAGGGTTGTATGTTTAAGCCCCGCAGTGGGCTCCCGTGCTGGACACTGGGCGCCTACTGAAAATAACAAAAACAAACAAAAGAAAACAACTCAGTGGAGCCACTCTCCATACAATGGGTTTTTTTACAGCAACCGGTCCATCCTTGGGACAAAATGCTACCTCAGAGTTTCCTAACTGTTGTCCCCAAATTCCAGCTCAAGCTCAAGTCCTCGGAGTCCTAAACCTCATTTCTCCAACCCCTCTCCGCTGTGAAGGTAGTAGACAGCAGGACAAGATAGGAGAATTCACAGAATATGAAAAGCAAGCAGTTGCCAATCTTTGAGAGCAGACCTGGCTTCTGTCATCAGAACCAGGCTTCTGAATCTAGGCCCTGTGACTGACGCCTTTGAGAAAAGTTTCCTTTATTGTCCTATGTGTTGGTAACTTGAAGAAAATAACTGTATGAGGGGCGCCTGGGTGGCTCAGTTGGTTGGGCATCCGACTTCGGCTCAGGTCATGATCTCGCGGTTCATGGGTTCGAGCCCCATATCGGGCTCTGTGCTGACAGATTCTGTGTCTCTCTCTCTCAAAAATAAATAAACATTTTTAAAAAGTGTTTTTAAAGGGGAAAAAAGAAAGAAAATGACTTTAGGAGCCTCAAAACAACTGTGTGTGTCCCCGGGATGTCTTGCCCTAAGAGATGGCTGACTGCCGCCTTCCTTTTCATTGTTATTATTGATGCAGCTTTTTAAAAAGAGAGAGAGGGCGACATTTGGAATTCTTTTTAACTTCAGAAAATTCTCCTTGGGTTCTGGCCAAATCACTTTTAGTCCCCATTGTCCTAAGCTTACAGAAAATGTCCCTACTCCCGTTACACTCTGCAGTCATAGCGGACGCGTAGTGTAGCTGTTAGGTGGCAAAAACCTGACCTAGATTTGAATCCCGCTGGCCTACAGCAGCTGTGACCTAGAGCAAGTCAATCTCTCCGTCTCGGTTTACTCTTCTGCAAAATAATATCTAAATAATATCTAATCGTAGCTAATACACATATCGTGCTTTTGGGGCAGGGCCGGCTGCCCCAAGGTGGACCACTTCCGCAGGCAGACTCTTGAGCCCAGGCATTGGAGACCATGGGAGCTCAAAAGAAATCTTTGCCCCTCCCTTAACTACACAAAAGAATCTAGATTGAGGGTCTTTTCCAGAATAAGGGTTGTTAGCAGAGATAAATGTTACCTGAGTGACGCATCTGTCTGGCAGGGCAAACAGCTAATTACCAAACATCTGCTCTTTGTATTGCCCTGTGAAGTGCTTTCCTTTCCGGTCCCAGACCCTACCCCCCTGCTCCTTAGTTCAGGGTGACATATTTACCCTTGGCTTGCCGGTCTTTGGAATTTCCACGTCTGTGTGGTTTCCCTGTACGTACAAAATTAAATTTGATTTTCTCCTATTAATCTGTCTTAGGTCAATTTGAGTTTGATTCTTTTGTTTAAGTTTACCTATTTATTTTTGACACACAGACAGAGAGAGGGAGGGGGAGAGAGAGAGAGAGAGAGAAAAAAAAAAGGGCAGGAGCAGAGAATTCCAAGCAGGCTCTGCACTGTCAGCCAAAGCTGGACTGGGGGGGGGGGAGGGGAATGGGGGAGGGGGGGCTCGAATTCAGGAACCGTTAGATCACGACCTGAGCTGAAATCAAGACCGGTGCTTAACCGACTGAGCCACCCAGGCGCCCCTCGTGTCGATTTGATTCTTAATCTATCTAGAAGGACCTTGTGGGGGACAGGAAATCCTCGCTGCCCGAAGGTGCTTCCCCGTGTCCTTGTTCATTTAATCCTTATAACAACCCCTAGAGGAAGAAACTATAGATCAAGCAACTGACGCACAGAGAGAGGTTGGCGTGACTTTCCCCCTGGGGCCGAAATGTTAAGGCAGGTTCCAGAGTCCGAACTCCAACCACCACCCCTACGGCCTCTCCAAACGAGGGCGGTGAACGAGGACGTAGCTGTTAAAGGAGGACTTGAGGATTAAATGAGATGATGTATGGGAAGCCCAATGCTTGACAAGTGGGACGGGTGGCCGCTGTGTGCAATGGGTTTCTTTCCCCTTCTGCGTTGCGACATTGGCCCGCCTTCTCGGAGCAGAACGCGAGAGGTCGGAGCAAGGAGAGCCCCGGCCGGGGGAGGAAGCGGCCGAGGTGGAATGTGGAAGGGGGGGGGTGGTAAACACGAGAAGGCGGGGGGGGGGGCGCTGAAGACTCAGGAACCCAGAAGTCGAGGCGGCGGGGCCCTGAGCGCGTGGGGACTCCCGCTGCAGGCAGAACCGGGCCCTCCGCCGCGCACGCAGTCAAGGGGCGAGGCCTCGGCCGCGCGGCCGCCTCCCCGCCTCCTCCCCCTCCCCCGGTCCCGGCCCCGGGGCCTCGCGCGGGCGGGCGAGCACCCGGTTTCCCGGCCCGGCCGCGGCCCGCCCCGGTGCCGGGCGGGGCCCGATCCGCCCGCCGCGCCGGGAGCCGCGGCCGCGAGTCGCGCGGGGCCCCGGGGCCGGGCCGGGCCGGGCGGCCGGGGCGCGATGGCGACGTGGCGGCGGGACGGCCGGCTGACGGGCGGCCAGCGGCTGCTGTGCGCGGGCGCGGCGGGGGCGCTCAGCCTGAGCCTCACCGCGCCGCTCGAGCTCGCCACCGTGCTGGCCCAGGTCGGCGCCCGGCGGGGCCAGGCCCGGGGGCCGTGGGCCGCGGGGCTCCGCGTGTGGCGCGCCGAGGGCCCCCGGGCCCTGTGGAAGGGGAACGCGGTGGCGTGCCTGCGCCTCTTCCCCTGCAGCGCCGTGCAGCTCGCCGCCTACCGCAAGTAAGCCGGGCGCGGCGGGGCGGGGGCGGGCCCGGGAGCCGGGAGCCCGGAGCCGGGAGCCCGCAGCCGGGAGCCGGGAGGCCGCTGCGGCCCGACGCCGCCCTGCTGCCCGGGCCGGCGCTCCGGGGCCCCGCGGACGGCCGCAGCCTCCTTCCGGATCGCGTGCGAGCCCCTCGGGGCATGTGGCCGGGACGCGGCCCCCGGGGCGCACTCTGGGGGCTCCCTGCCCCGCCGGGTGCCGTTCTTAGGGGCGCGGTCCCGGCCCGGAGAAGCCCACCGGTGTCAGACGGGGAATGGGGCAAAAGGAGATGGGGGGGAAGGGGGAAGGGGTGAACACCTCTCCAGAGAGATGGCTTCTAGCCATTCCCACCGTCCACCAACTTGGAAAGTGCGCCTTGACTGCCGTAGGAGAGACAGACCCTGTGAAAGAGGTGTGTGCGCGGCGGTGGCGGTGCTGTTGTGAGCAAAGCCCGCAGAAGAAAGTGCTTGGTAGGGGGAGGTGCCACAAAAGGCCACAGATTTCCGTGAAACTTGCCTTTAGGGCCCAACAGAGGCTGCAAACAGGCCCCTCAACATACTGTCTCATCCCACCCTCTGCCCACTGGCCTCCTCCTTTGCGCTTTTTTCACCTTCCAACAGCTGCTTATTTTCCCCCAAAAATGTTTATTTTTGAGAGAGAGACAGAGGGCGAGTGAGGGAGGGGTAGAGAGAGCCAGGGGAGACATAGAATGTGAAGCAGGGTCTAGGCTCTGAGCCTGTCAGCACAGAGCCGGAGGCGGGGCTCGAACTCGGGAACTGTGAGATCGGGAACTGTGAGATCGGGAACTGTGAGATCGGGAACTGTGAGATCAGGCCCTGAGCCCAGGTCGGAGGCTTAACCCACTGAGCCACGCAGGCGTCCCCAACAGCGGCTTCTTAAGGAAACTTATCTACATGTGTAAATACCAGATGAGTGTTCAAGGCTCCCTCTGTGCTCAGAGATATTTGCCTTTCGACTGAAAATAAGCCTAAAGGAATGGAATGGTCCTGATGGAATTTCAGGAAGAGGGGCTGTTTCTGTACTTCCCGAGGGATGGTCCCTGTGTTCCTCATTCCGTGGGCACAGTGCCAGCTCCAAAGTCTGGCCTTGGCTCTGAATTAGACAAACAGCTCACAGTCTTGACCACATAGTTCAAGCCTCGGAGGCGAACAGCCAGGATTCTGGCCTGTTTTCTGGGAGGGGGGTGCTGCCGGGCTCACCTAGCAGCTGACAAGCGGGTCGGAATCATCCTTCTCACTGAGTCTCCGAGGCTAGCGCGCATGACCTAGGCTTGGAAGAAGTTACCTTCTCTTCCCCTGGGGAGGAAAGCTAGTATCTATAAACGGTTCTCTGAGGGTTTTTTTGTTTCTGGTTTTTGTTTTGTTTTGTTTTGTTTTCTTTAATTTTCATTTACCCGGAGAGAGAGTGTGGAAGTGGAAGCCGGGGGAGAGAATCCCAAGCAGGCTCCCCACTGTCAGTGCAAAGCCCGACCCAGGACTCGAACTCAGGAATCGGGACATCATGACCTGAGCGAAAGTCAGCCACTCAACTGACTGAGCCAGCCAGGCGCCCCAATTCTCTGAGTTTTAAGGACTCCATTCCTCCCTACTTCCCTCCGTTCTCCACAAAGCCGGATGGGAATCTTGCTTGGGAATGTATACCCAGGAGAAGGGGGCGGGACTCTAAAGGCTGGTTTCAAGTATTGTGGCTGCTCTGGGAACCACTGTGGGAGAGGAAGAGCTTTTCCTCTGTCCAAGGTTCTTCCAGCTGGACTAAGAATTAAGCTGACATGAGACAGATCAAGGGGAGAAAACCAAACTTAATTTCGTACGTCCGGGGAATCCACACACACACAAGATTGCAAAGACAGGCAAAATGAGGTAGAGGTCATTCTGAACTAAGGAGAAGGAGGTGCAGGAGTCTGGGACTAAGAGTAAAATGTTTGGTAAACAAGTGTTTGCTGGGTCACTCAGAAACAGCGGGACTTAGGAAATTTTTTTATTTAAAAAAATTTTTTAATTGTTTTAAATCATTTATTTTTGAGAGACAGAGCACGAGTGGGTAAGAGGCAGAGAGAGAGAGAGAGAGAGAGAGAGAGAGAGAGAGAATCTGAAGCAGGCTCCAGGCTCTGAGCTGTCAGCACAGAGCCCTGACACAGGACTCGAACCCATGAACCGTGAGATCATGACCTGAGCCAAAGTCGGACGCTTAACCGACTGAGCCCCCAGGTGCCCCTGGGATTTAGGAATTTTAACAGACTTGGCTAAATTCCTCCCTGTCAACCACCCCTAGTTCATATTATAATGTATTTATTTAGGGTGATCCGCTCTCTTCCTGGAGCATATCCTCTATCTAAATGCTTTTTAGGCAGTTGAGGGAACATCCAACGTTTCCACTTGAGTCTTGGTGGGCCTTACTTGCTTTCAGCTCAAAATAATCTACACGCCATTGCTGCCCATCTCAGGGAGGTCTGCCCTTGGCCTCAGCACCACCTAATATATATACATCATTGGATTTTTTTTAACAGCCCCATTGAGATATTGACCTATAAAAAGTGAATATATGTAGGTGTACAACTTGACGTTTCAATGGACATTGTGAAATGATCAGCACACTCAAGATAATCAAATATCCATCACCTCTACACAGTGACCATTGTGTGTGCGCACGTATATGTACACATGATTGGATTTCTACAATTCCTGCCTCCTGCCCTATAAGGTCCATAAGGTGGGAAATATTATGCCCATTTTACGGATGCAGAATGGGGCTCCGACTGGCCGCACCTCTCCTCAGTGATAGAGCCGAGAGCCCCATAACCTGACCTTCTGCCTCCAGATCTAGTACTCTATTACATCATGCTGCCTTTCTCTCTGCGTTCATTTGCCATTGATTTAGCCAGGCTTCATTAAGTACCCGCTGTGTGCAAAGTGCTAGGGCCACGCCACGATGAAAGGCGTGTGGTTCTTGCACACCAGAGCTTACGGAGTGATAGAAGAATAAGACTACTGTGTCTGTAGTGTGTGGCCGAAATGCTGTAGAAATTCACACTTCTGGGGCGCCTGGCTGGCGCAGTCCGTAGAGCATGCAACTCTTGATCTCACGGTTGAGAGTTTGAGCCCCGTGTTGGGTGTAGGGATTACTTAAAATCTTAAAGAAGAGAAAAAGAAATTCACATGATGGGGAGAAGGAGATTGCAGGTAATGTCAAGAGCAAAGGCACGGAGGTGGGGAGGCACGGGGCATGGCTGGAACACAGGGTGGGTAGGTGGCAGAAATGGGAGGCACAGCCAGAAAAGCAGGTTGGGCTGAGATCTCAGAGGGCCGGGTTAAGAAGTCTGGACTTCCGCAAGGCCAAGGTTAGCTGTGGGAGATTTTGGAGGAGGCGGGGGTGTGCATGATGATGAAAGCAACTCGATGGGAATTACCGTCACCTGGTGGCAGGACCAGTCAGGAACCTGTTGCACTAGTTCGCATAGCCCCTGAGGGCACCTGAGACAGGCCAGTAGCTGGGAGAGGAAGAAAGAGATAGTTACCTGGGCTGCGTTTGCTACTCATTTTTCCTGGGCGATTATATTCTTTCTGGAAACTAAAAGGAAGTGTTTCAATGAGTGGCTGGGCATAGAAAGCAAAGTGGTTGACTAATCATGGAGCCATCCTTCCTACGTAAAGATGATACCTTTAGTCCGTCATTACACTGACCCATCCCATCTCTACTCTTTCCTGGCCTTGAGTTTGTGAAAACAGTTGGCGGAGGGTACTGGTATAGCCTAGGATCGTGGGTTTGAACAAAGCATAAACACCCAGAATGTTCAGGAAATGGAGTGGTTAATTGACTTGCCCCCAGATAGAATTAATGGCAGCGTTGGAGCTTGAAGCCGGGTCTTCTGGCTCCCTAGTCTGGGGCTCTGCCCACCGTCATCCATGCTCACTTGGATCTATGATCCAAGTCTATTATGAGTCTAGGAGGAGCTAGGTCCCTGCAATAAATAGTACATAACACGGCAGGTAGCTTTCAATACATCGAATAGTAGATCGCCGTCCTACTCGACTCCACGACTCCTCGTCCAGCTGTGTAAACATTGGTGTGGGTCCCTGCAACACCAAAACAGCTCATCACCACCACCACTTGCTTATTGTATAACCGCCTCATGGGCCTGCATTCGGCTGCTAAGCTGCGTTAGGTTGAAGCTCTACCTACGTAAGTCCAGGGTGTGTGAACGATCATTATGGCTGAAAGGCAAGGGTCACTGCTGTTCACCAGCTTATCCAGTCCCTCCAGGGAAAGCTTCTGTGCCTGTGTGGGAGGCCAGCGGGAGGAGGAGGAGAGCTGAGAGGGGCCCCCCCGCTGCCCCAGGCCATCAGACAAGAGCTCAAGGTCATGTACGTCCTTGATGGCCTATCAGGGTGGCCTGGCTTGACATTGCCCATTCCGATGGCATGGCGAGAGTCTGAGAAGGACGGACCTCCTCTGGGTCTTTTTATTTTTGGAGATTGGATAGCAAGACCCTCCTTTATAAACCAAACTGATCTAAGACAGGGATCCTATTCCTAGCCCATCAAATCATTCTGCGCACCAAGGGCCTATTCCTCTCCTGTTGCCCCTCTGGGTCACTGCTTTGGCAGGGCTGTTGAGCTCCGTTAGGACCTATGCTAGGTGCCAGCACGGTGTCTGGCACGTTGTAGATGTCCGATAAATGGGTAGCGAATTCATTCAGGCCCTGGAGGTGGCCAAGTGGGATAGGGAATTAGGCGAGGCGATGAGAATGAATGATTTTGAATGAATGAGAATGAGATTTCCAACTCCCACCTTCATCTAGATTGTTCCAGCTGGCTGTAGGCCACCCCTCCGGTCAAGCGTTTCCATTTCCTCTGTCCCCCCTGCCCCTGGTCAGGTCCCCCTCCAACCTGACAAGCGAGGGGAGGGGGAAAGAAAGGGAGGAACAAGGAAGTGTGCGCGCAGTGAAACAGGCCAATGGCCCATTGGTGAATGCCTGCTTTAGTTACTGCATCTTTCAAAAGTAGCTGGTTAACTCATGACTGTTTCTTCTCTCTTCTTTTTTATAACATTTTCAATTAGTGCAGTTACGGCAGGTTGAGAAAAATGAAGAAGTTAAGACTTTCCTACAGCGTGAAGGGGATGCTTTTAAACATTTTTTAAAATTTTAATTTTTTTCTTTTGAGAGAAAGAGGCCACCCACGCGCAAGCAGGGGAGGGGCAAAGAGTGAGGGAGAGAGAGAATCTGAGGCAGGCTCTGCGCTGTCAGTGAGGAGCCCCACACCCTGGGCTCTGAACTGTGAGATCATGACCTGAGCAGAGACTAGGAGTCAGATGCTTAGCCTACTGAGCCACCCAGGCGCCCCCTAAAGGACATGCTTTTATTTTTTTAATTTTTAAAAAATTTTTTTTAATGTTTTATTTATTTCTAGGAGAGAGAGAGAGAGAGAGAGAGAGAGACAGCGTGAGCAGGGGAGGGTCAGAGAGAGAGGGAGTCACAGACTCTGAAACAGGCTCCAGGCTCTGAGCTGGCAGTCAGCACAGAGCCCGACGCGGGGCTCAAACCCACGAACCGCGAGATCATGACCTAAGCAAAAGTCGGACGCTTAACCGACTAAGCCACCCAGGCGCCCCAAAGACATGCTTTTAATCGATGAGTGTTTACTTGGGAGCAAAGGAAGGTTTCTTGGAAACCCCTTAAATGCTTTCAACCCAAATACCCACTTATTGGTCACGCCTCTTCATGAGAGATTTAAAAGCCAAAGACCTGAGCGTGCTCTCATCGTTCAAAAGACCCAGCCCCGTTCACTTTCCTTTTAGTCAGACCCTTGCTATTTCTCTCCCTCTCCCCTACCCCATTCTCTGGCAGAAAATATTACTTTTCCTGGGTTCCAAGCCCTTTTTGATTTTGTCCTCATCAGCAAGGAGTAAAAATTCCTTTGCTTCCTGGCCAGGGAATGCGTACTGTGCAAACGTCCCTTTATAACAATTTCTGCCGAGGTAGACTCTCCTGACTAGGGACGCTCTGCTTCCAAAAAAGGGGACCGTACCAGGGGCGCCTGGGTGGCTCAGTCGGTTGAGTGTCTCTGAGGCTTGGTTTCAGCTCGGGTCGTGATCTCGCGGTTCGTGGATTCAAGTCCCGCGTGGGGCTCTGCGCTGACAGCTCAGAGCCTGGCGCCTGCTTGGGATTCTGTGTGTCCCTCTCTCTCTCTGCCCCTCCCCTGCTCGTGATCTGTCTCTCAAAAATAAAAAAATGTTTAAAAACTTAAAAAAAAAAGAAAGAAAGAAACACTAACAAGAATTCCCGTGTGCCCACCATCCAGAAGTAACAGCATGCAGGACAGTATAAAAGTATAAAAGATACTCCAAGTATCTTTTTTTTAATACAAGAAAACAAAATATTACAGAGAAAGCTGAAGTCCTGTTCATTCTTATTCCCAACCCCTTCCCCCCCCCTTCCTGGAGGTCTACCTTACACCTTTTTTTTCTGTATCTACATCTATCAGTGAATGATACAAGGTATGATTTGATGGATGTGTCTTTCAATTTAAATAGTTTCTCAATTGCCGTACACTGGAAGCCTGCAACTTGCTTTTTGCTCAACTTTAGGCTTTCAGGATTATCTATATGAATACATAGCTGCAAAGTCATTTTAACTATCCATTGTAGGAGCATGCTACAATTTATCTCCCTATGAATGGATGTGCGGGTTGTCTGACTTTTCACAACAACAGTGTTGTGTGTGTCCTCGCATGTACCTGTGCAAGGGATTCCCCAGGGGATGCACCTAGAAAAATGGAATTTCTGGGGTGAAAGGCATTCTTTCAGCTGTGCCAGATACTACAAAGGGGCTGTACCAAATTTACATTTCTTTAAATGTGTATGTATTTGTTTTGAGAGAGGGAAGAGGGAGGGGGCACTGAGAGGGAGAAAGAGAATCCCAAGCAGGCTCTGTGCAGTCAGCACAGAGTCTGATGTGGGGCTCGATCCCACAAACTATGAGATCATGACCTAAGCTGAAGTTGGACGCTTAACCGACTGAGCCACCCGGGCGCCCCATTTTAAAACTCAATTACAGGGGGCACGGTGGTGGTGCCTGGCTGGCTCAGTTAGTAGAGCGTGACTCCTGATTGTGATTTCAAGCCCTGCACTGGGCATAGAACTTAGTTTAAAAAAAAAAATCCATCACTGGGGATACCCCAAGTCATCATTTCAAGGGATTCATTTAAGTTTCAACAGAACCAAAGGGCCACATTCCAGTTCAGTATTTACCAAGTACTCCTAATCACGTACACCCCACTGGCAAGCCAGGGTGCACAGTTAGGCAGATAAAGGGGGAAATGCTTAAAATGAAGTGGGAAGAGGGGCACCTGGGTGGCTCAGTCCGTTGAGCATTAGACTCTTGATTTCAGCTCAGGTCACGATCTCGCGGTTGGTGAGTTCAAGCCCTGCATGCTGACAGTGCACAGCCTGCTTAGGATTCTCTCTGCCTCTCCTGCTCTCCCTCTCCCCTCCCAACCCCTGTCCTACTCAGGCTCCCTCTCAAAATAAAGAAATAAATTTTCAAAAAAATAAAATCGTTTTTTAAAAAAATGAAGGGAGAAGAACTTAGGGTAGACATAAAGAAGAGAGCTGGGTATCCGCTTGTAACTAGAATTCTATAAATATAGTAGAATCCCATGTACGACGCACCAATCCTAATACATTAGTATAGTAATTTTCACTTTGGACATCCTTTCCAAATGCTGGGAGATCTTGTAAGAAGTAGTAGAGAGCACTCTAGCACAATCCATAGCTGATTCTCTTGGGCTACCCCCCCCCCACTTTTGTCTCCTAGGTTTGTCATGCTCTTCACGGATGACCTGGGTCATATTTCCCAGTGGAGCTCTATCATGGCTGGGAGTCTGGCGGGTATGGTTTCCACCATTGTAACCTACCCTACAGACCTCATCAAAACCCGGCTGACCATGCAGAACCTGCTGGAACCATCTTACAGAGGGATCGTCCATGCTTTCTCTACTGTTTACCATCAGGAAGGGTTCCTGGCCCTTTATCGAGGGGTTTCCCTTACTGTTCTAGGTAAGATGGAACTTTTCACCTTGTCTAAGAAAAGGCTGTGCTCTTTGGTATATACGAATGTACCGCCTTTGTTTGTAACCAGTTAAATGCAGTGTTTTGAGGTCGAGGTCACATGGATTCAACCCGTATGGCGCCACTTAGCTTCGCTCTATCCCATACCATCCCCCTCACTCCCACCTTCGGCCTGTCACACCCCAGGGAGGGGCCTTGGCATGCACGCGTGCACGCACACGACCAGGGTGAGCAACTGTAGCTTCTGTGGTCTTGGGTACCTTTGCCCAGCGCCACCCATGCCCGAGTCCCCCAGGCCTCCCAGTTGCCAAACGGGGCCGACTTTCACCCATTATCTGACTTTTGTTGCAGTGTTTGATGGGGCCGGCCACCCCTTCTTCTGGAAGCTTGGCTTCCAGGACCCTGCCGTCTTCTGGGGGTCTTCACCACCTCTCTGGCTCATCTGACACTCTCCCCCGGGGCTCCTTCCTTACCTTTCTTTCCACCCTCCATGCCCTCCCCAGGTGGCCTCAGCTAAGCTAGTGGCTTAAAAGAGCATCATAACACCCAAATGACCCCCAGCCTCACCTCCGTAATCACAGCGACTAACATTTCCTGGCACTTGCTCCGCACCGGGCACTGTGAGGAATGCGTTGCGTACCGTTCCTCGTTTCAGCCTCAGTTTATGGACCAGGAACTAGATGCTCCGGGAATCTCAGGGACTTGCCCAGGATCGTATAGACAGAAGGTGGAAGAACCTAGCGATGTAACCCCAGAGCCCCCCGTGTTAACACTGACTGCTACCAGTTCCCCACAGCAGGATGAATACCTGCCACTGGACGCCTTGACCTGCTGGTTCCTTGGCGCATCCAACTCAACAGTAAACCTGATGGCCCGGGTAGGTCCCACCCGCCCCGCCGGGGCTCCCGCCGCCCTGCGCCCAGCGGCCCAAGTGGGAAGAAACTTACGACGGCCTCAGCTCCTCTCAGCCCCTTCACGCTCAGCCTGTCGCCCCCCTGCATCCCTGCCCCCGCTGCGCTCATCCTCACCCTTCCCGAAGACATGAACAAGCGGTTCCCACCCGCTCCCAGTCCTCGGTGTCTCCTGCCCAGGCCACCCCGTCTACCGCTGCCAGGGCGTGGTGACCTGCCCAAGCTGACACTGGCCGTCCCACCACCCTCGTGCCGATGTCCTCCTTGAGAGCCTTCGCTGGGGGGGGTGCTCCCTGGGGGGCTCAGTCGTGGAGCATCTGACTTTGGCTCAGGCCACCGTCTCACGGTTCATGGGTTCGAGGCCCGCATCGGGTGGGCTCGGGCCCCACTTCGGGTGAGCCCTGCTTCTCTCTCTCTCTGCCCCTTGCTCACCTGCACCCCGCCTCAAATAAATAAATAAATAAATAAATAAAGCCTTCACTGACTCCTGAGCTGCAGGGGAAAGCCCCAATTCCTTCTGGCGCGTCATCAGATCCCTCAGACCTGCCCACCCCCCGCCACGGGGCCCATCCCGCCCCCCTCCTGCACTCACGCTCCAGCCCTACAGAAAAACCTGCCGTTTCCTGGAAACACCACTTCTTCTGAACCTGCTGTTCCCTCCGCCTGGACTGCCCGCCCACTCTCCCGATGTCTGGCGAACTCCTACTCAACCCTCCAGACCCAGTGGAAAAGTTTCTCTCTTCTGTGAAATCCTTCCTGATTCCCCTAGGCAAGCAGAATCCCTCAGATCCTCCTGTGCCGAAAGCACTTTGTATCCCCCCCTCCCCCCCCATATACCCACTGCCCGTCTCCTCCACTAGATGGCGAGTATCCCCAGGAATTAGCCTACTCTGTGTTTACTTCTCTTAGTATTCCCAGCACCTGGCATAGGGCCCAGCATATGACTTAAAGTCCACAAATATTTTCTGAGTGAAGGTAAATGTGGGGTTGGTACTTGAGGTTTAATGTGCGTATTAAATCAATATTACTGCATTTTCTTAAAGACAAGCAACCCGGCCGAGGCTATCCCCTCTTTTAAGTCTCATTTTGAGGGAGAAATTTAGTACCTCTGTCAACTTAAGATAGCTCCCAAAGTTTCTGGAAGTTTCTTGAAAGGGCCACCTACTACACTACCTAGTCACCATCTTTTCCTAGAAAGATAAGGAAGCTGCAGGTGGTAGGGTGCCCCCTGGGCGCTGATATGGCCACGTCATTCTCAAAGGCAAGGTCAAGTGCACTCCCTCACAACTGCGGTCTCACTGGCTACTTTTCCCGGAACATTTCCTTCTCAGCTAGAGGCCGGTCCCTCCTAGCGGCTTCCAAAACCTGATTAAGCGACACTCAACTGACCTTTTCTTTACAGGAGTGATTTTCCCCCCAAGATTTTATTTTTTTAAATTTCTAATACCCACAAAAGTTAAAAGAATTGGAAGCACCCTCATACCCAACCATCCAGATGCTACAGTTAACATTTTTGCTTTGTCATAAAGCTGTCCATCCCTCTGGCCATGCATCAGTCCATCTTCCATAATTTTTGATGATTTCCATGGAATTTCCAAAGATCAAGGCACTTCACCCCTCAACCGTTCCACATTGTGTAAGCATTATCTAGAGTTCAATATTCATTTGTGGTTCTTCACAGCGTAAAATTTACCTACAGGAAAGGGCGCAAACCTTTAGTGAACCGTTCAATGCGTTGTGACAAATTACACAACCCCGATCAAAATGCAGTGCATTATCATCACCCAAGAAAAGTTCCTTCCTTCTGCTCTAGTGGGAGGGATCTTATTTACTCATTAAAATTTTTTTTTCTAATGTTCGTTTTTGAGAGAGAGAGAGAGAGCGAGCCAGGGGCGGGGAGCAGAGAGAGAGAGGGAGACACAGAATCCGAAGCAGGCTCCAGGCTCTGAGCTGTCAGCACAAAGCCCGACACGGGGCTCGAAATCACAAGCAGTGAGATCATGACCTGAGCTGAAGTCAGACGCTTAACCGACTGAGCCCCCCAGGCACCCCTGGTGGGACGGATTGTTTACTTCCGTGGCTTCTGCACGGGCATTTATGTTCTCAAGCCGGTGCTGCCAGAGACAGAAGCAGCCTCCTTCGGGCCCTGTCTTGCAGGTGCTCTCCCGTTCTCTGCTGGCTCCCTTCTCGTTTACATGAACCTGGACAAAATCTGGAACGGACCCCGAGATCGGTTCTCTCTCCTCCAGAACTTTGCCAATGTCTGCCTCGCCGCTGCAGTAACCCAGACCCTCTCCTTTCCTTTCGACACAGTGAAGAGAAAGATGCAGGTGAGGGGTAATGTTGGGGGGAGGGCGTCACGTAGGAGGGCTGCCTTGACGTGTCTGCGGGGAGGGCGGTAACAGAACACTGCCCTGAGTGGTGCCAGCTTCCCCACGAGCCCAGGCCACCTCCCTGTCCCCATTCTCTGCTTTTGAAGGTCTTTGATAAAGCCTCCAGACCAGGCCCGCTCTGCTTTCCTCTCTTCCTCAAAGCTGCCTCGATGAGGGAGACTGGAAAGAACCCAAATCAGCCACGAACTACCGATAACAATTCAGTTGAATCCTAGTTTAGTTTAGTTTAAGTTTATTTGAGAGAAAGAGAAAGCGCGAGGTTGGGGGGGTGGGGGGTGCGGACAGAGAGAAAGAGAGAATCTCAAGCAGGCCCCACACTGTCAGCGCTGCCCAAGCATCTGTCCAAGTTGTATCTTTTCCTGTCCTTTGTCCAAACAGATAAGTAGTGGTCACATTGTAATTATCATGTAGATGTAAAGTTACAGCCTGCTTAGTGCATATGCCTATTCACAAAAGCCATTATTCCTAATTTTAAAAGTAATGCACATACGCCTTGAAAATGGTCAGTTTGGGGGCGCCTGGGTGGCTCAGTCGGTTAGGCGTCCAGCTCCTACTCAGGTTATGATCTTGCGGTTCGTGGGTTCGAGCCCTACCTGGGGCTCTGTGCTGACAGCTCAGAGCCTGGAGCCCGCTTTGGATTCAGTGTCTCCCTCTCTCTCTGCCCCTCCCCCGCTCACCCTCTGTCTGTATCTCTCTCTCAAAAATAAACATTAAAAAAATAATAATAGGGGCGCCTGGGTGGCTTAGTCGGTTAAGCGTCCGACTTTCGCTTAGGTCATGATCTCGCGGTTCGTGGGTTCGAGCTCCGCGTCGGGCTCTGTGCTGACTGCCAGCTCAGAGCCTGGAGCCTGTTTCAGAGTCTGTGACTCCCTCTCTCTCTGACCCTCCCCTGCTCACGCTGTCTCTGTCTCTCTCTCTCCTAGAAATAAATAAAACATTTAAAAAATTAAAAAAAAAATAAAATGGTCAATGTTATGTTACGTATGTTTTATCACAATAATAATTTTTAAAAAAGTAATGCGCATGGATTATAGAAACTTTGAGCGAGGTGCCTGGGTGGCTTCAGTCGGTTAAGCATCCAACCTTGGCTCAGGTCATGATCTCACAGTTAGTGAGTTCGAGCCCTGCCATGGGGGCGCTGTCAGTGCCAGAGCCTCCTTTGGGGTTCTCTCGCTCTTGCTCTCTGCCCTCCCTCCCTTTCTCTCTCAAAATAAATAAACTTAAGAAAAAAAAGAAAGTTTAGGAAAAACAAAAAAGTCTAAAACAGAAAACAATAATTACCTATAAACCCAGCATCTTTGCACTATAATGATTAATAGCTTTTCTGCATATGTGTGTGTGCATGTATATGTGTGTGTGCGCATAAATGTATGTAATACCTGTATATGGAAAGTTGGAGGTTTTTTTACAAACTTGTGTCCCTACCATATATAAAAATTAATATCCTACTTTTTTCACCTATTATATAATGGATATTGCCCAGACCATCAACTATCGAGAATGCCTTTTTAAATTTGTCACATAATATTCCACCATATGGCTGTGCCATAGATTTTTTTTTAGCGATGATTCATTCTTGCAAAGTTCTGGAAGCTAGAATTTTAATATCAAGTAGATGCCAGGGCCACGCCCCATTTGAAGGCTGTAGGCGTGGATCCTTCCTTGTCTCTTCCAGCCTCTGGCCGCCCCACGCATTTCTTGGTCTGTGGCTGCAAAATTCAGTCTCGGCCTCCATTGGGCCGTAAATACCAATTTCTCGGTTTCTAAATATTTAGGCTATTTCTAATTGTTCAGGGTGATAACATTACAGTGAAAACCCTTGTATGTTTTTCACATGTGTGATGACGCCCTTCAGCTCTATTCCTACAAATCGACTTATGGGTCTCCACATAAAAATAATTGTAAGGCTCTTTTGTTTTTTTAAGTTTGTTTGTTTGTTTGTTTGTTTATGGGAAGAGCAAAAAGACAGGGAGGGAGAATCCTAAGCAGGCTCCACACTGAGAGAGAGGAGCCTTCTGTGGGGCTTGAACTGATGAACTAAGAGATCATGACCTGAGCCAAAACCAAGGGTCGGATACTTAACCAACTGAGCCACCCGGGTGCCCCCCTTTTTTTTAAGTTTATTTATTTTTTATTTTATTGATTTTTAAAATTATTTTTATTGTTTTATGTAAAGACTCTGAATGAACTTTGCACCCCAGAAAAGTTGTACATTTACACTTGCTCCAGCAGTGAATGAGTGGTTTGTCTCCTCAACAGCCATCAGCAGTAATTACTGTCACTTTTCAAAAAAAAATTTTTTTTACGACAACACTCTACTATAAATCGGGGTGAGATGCACTACAAGTAGCTGTTTGGGGGTAAACTTGATCATCTTTTCCCTGGTACGGAAGCCTTCTTGATACCAGACAGACAGAGCTTCAAGAAGAAGCTTTAAAATAAACGCAAAGTCAGGCTGGTTATTAAAAAAAAAAAAAAGAAAAGAAAAATCCCAGAGAGGTAATTGCATGGTTTTCATAAAGTATGATCCGCATCCAATTATGAATAACGTCATAAATATCATCCAAAGGTGTAGGAAGTGAATTCTTAGGGTGGCGGTCAAAGTTTTATTTTACGGGCGTTAATAAACATAACAACACCCGGTCCACCCTACTTAAAAAAAAAAATGAACTCCCCAGAGGGACTCACAGTGCTGTTCGATGAAAACATGCATTGCTTCCTCTGGCCATTAGATGTCGCTGCAGCAAGTGGAGCATTTCTGAGCGCGCTGAGGCTATTAGCCTGGCAGGTAGTGATCTCTGTGCAGTTAACCTCCTAATCCCCGCTTGAAATGCACCTTCAGTCTGAAGGGTAAGGAGCCTAGAAACAACAGGCTAACCCGAAATCCTGTTGTAGGGGGGGGGGGGGTGTTTCCCTGCGAGGCACACGATCCACATTCTCCAAGGGAGAGCCTCAGTAGCGGCCTCCCGCCCACCCCCCCGCGGGAGCCCGCAAGTTTTACCACTGGAATTTATAGTGAGCGGACTTTGCTGCCCCGACTGAGCACACTTAATGGCAATATTTGCCTTCCCCTGGCTTCCCTCCTCGAGCGGCCTGTCAGGAAGCAAATCAACAGCAGGTGTCTGTTAGATAACCAACCAGCTGGCCGGGGAATTTTCTCAACTCCCACACTGACTGGCCACTTTAGCTGAATGTCTCGTTCTCCCAATATGCTTTTGTGTACACACACACACACACACACACACACAATCTGCCCATCTAATGCCCCATCAGGCTGGAACTCTCTCGAACATCAATGAGAATAATCAGGAGTCTCGTTTAACCGTCTGGGCCCTTCCTTCACCATGCTTCCATTCATCCCTTTCTCTTTTTCTTGTCCTGGCTCGTAGCTGCCATGCCAGAGAATGCAGGGGTAAATAAATTAGGTTTGTGCACGTTTTGATGCAGTGGCTTCTGGTGGGAAGGGGGGGCGGGGCGGCCCAGCGCACAAATGAAATGAGGTGGCCCCCACCCGGCGTGCTGCCTGAAATCGCCTTTGCCACTCTTCAGGGCATTGGGCATGGCTCAAGGCCTTGCGGGCACAGCCTGTCCTTCTCGTCTTCGTTCCCTCCCACACGTGGCCCAGAACTGGGGCTGGAAATGTGTATTTCAGGAGCACTTAGTTTATGGAGAGAACAAGTGGAACAGGAAAGACAGTGACGGAGACCGATCGGTCTGATGAATCCGTGAGCCCCTAATAAGGACCAGGGGCGGAGTCCTGAGCAGAAGGGTCTCTGGACAGGTGCATGTGGAAGACAGAGGGAAGCCGGCTGCCCTGAAACTCCAGGGAGCAGCTGAGAAGAACACGGGAGCCTTGGAAACCCGGTGGGCCCTCTCTGACAGGGTCAGGTGGGAGGCACGAGGCACAAGCTTGGTGTCGCCCCCCCAGGCCAGTAACTCTGACACCCTCCCCTGTGGCCCATGTTAGGTGTCTCCAGTTCATCAAATATAAAACCGACTGTCCGCCTGTTGCTCTGTACCCCAGGGGGACTTTGACCCCATCAAGGCTCACAAGGCAAGCGGGATTGAGCCAGGTCAGCATTTGAACTGAAAGTACGTAAACTGAAGGACAAAGGTGGTATCCGAGTGGCACAGCTGACAGAGCAGAATACACACGGTCCCTGAGCGAAGAGAGGCCCCGGACTGTTCAAACAGAGACGCTGAACCCACCCGAGATGCTTAACGCCTCAGGCTGCCCTTGCCGCACTGGGCGCCGTCACTCAGTCCGGCCCCTCCCGGCGTAGCCGTCTCCTCCCGGTGTCTCAAGCCCAACCCCACATGTTCAGCCCCGACCCACACTCCCGCCGCGCGTGGTCATCTGGCTGTCACCTGTACACGGTCGCCTCTAACGTACCCTGCAACTTTCTGCCCAGGGCTTTCCATTTCGGTACCACCACCACCCCCTCCCCAGTCACCCAGGCTGGAATTCCGGACATTGGCTTTCACGCTTCCTCTTCCCCTCCCCCAGGCTATGGCAGTAAATCCTCCCGCTGCTCTCCGAGATTAAGTCTAAAAATGATCATAAGCATCGAACACTGATGTAGCAGGCACTGTGCTAAAAGTATTTCACGCTCATTATGTTGTGTAATCCTTAACAACGACCCTATGAGGTGGGTACTGTTCATATCAAGCCCATTTTCCAGATGAGAAAACTGAGGCCCTGCAAGATCTGGGGTGGCTCAGTTGATTAAGCGTCTGACTTTGGCTCAGGTTGTGATCTCACGGTTCAGTTCATGAGTTCAAGCCCTACAAAGGGCTCTGCTGTCAGCACAGAGCGGGCTTCAGATCCTCTGTCCTCCTCCCTCTCTCTGCCCCTTCCCCACTTGTTCTCTCTCCCTCCCTCTCTCTCTCTCCCAAAATAAACTTAAAGGAAAAGAAAAAAGAAAAAGAAACCACAA